GATGAAGACATAGAAGACTTCCTTGCCCAAGAATTTGAAAACATATCACATGCAAAAGCATGTAAAACAAACATGAGATATCAATATTATTCTAGTTTCACAGTAACTATCAGAGGCAAAGACATACACCCAGAACTCTTCACAAATTCAGATGTTTTCCCTAAAAATGTTAAAGTATTTTTTTTAAACAAAAACAAGTACAAGAACGACCAACTTGTGTGCAATCACACAATCAGCAAAACCAAAGGTCACATCATGCTATACAATCAAAACAGAACATATCAATGCGCAATCTCTCCTCGGTCACTTTGAAGAAATTGAAATGATGAACACAGAGAGAAATTTCGACATCCTTTGCATTAGTGAAGCATGGCTTCATGAAGAAATCTCAAGTAATTTCACTAACATTCAAAATTTCAATGTTTATTGATGTGATGCAGGGCGGGTGGAGTATGCATGTACGTAAGGGACACCTTTAAATCAAATGTAATATCCACAATAGTTGTAAATAATACAGCTGTAGAGGACGTTTGGGTAACTGTATAAAGTAGTATGTACCCCTCCTTCATTATTTGTACAATCTATAGACACCCCCATGCTACAGCTGAATCATCTGACAACCTCGAAGATGTTTCAGAGAAATTTCAATGAAAAGAAAACCTTTTCATATTTTGGATAACTTAGACGAAGACCTGAACAAACCTAATGAAAAATTAGCCGGGATCATTAAGAAAAATTAAATCAACTTATAGATAAACCTACCAGGATCACAAAACACACCTCATCCGTGTTAGACATCATTATATCAAACAGACCTGACCTCATTACGTATACTGATATTATCTCTTGCCAAATTGCAGACCACGAACTATTAAGTATGACAGTAGATATAAAGAAACACAAGCAACAACCTGTCATAAAAACTTCCCGTTTAACTTGACTTGACAAATTACGACCCCCAATCACTTTGTCAAAATATTAGTGCCAGATAGTCGACCCTCTCAAAGATTCTTACAACAGATGATGTTAACAAACAAGTAGACATTCTCTCGAACGTACTAAAAAATAGCATAGATGCCACTGCTGCACTGTCAGACGTCCCCCCTCCCCAAGGATAAATGAGGACATCAAAAGAGCTATACATGACCGAAACAACACTCACAAATTTCTCAAAACAAATAGAACTGATATCGCCCTTCAGTCTGAGTATAAACAAAAACAAAAAAAGAGAACTGTTAAAACATTAATCCAATCAGCAAAAACAATTTATTTTCAAAATAAGTTCAATGACTGAAAACACGACGCCAAAGAAACATTGAAAACAGTTAAAACTTTAGCACGAAATCAAAAACACCACACAGAGACATCCCTAGATTCCTTAAGTAGTATAGAACATCTAAACGATTACTTCGCAAATATCGGTAGACTCACCTATGAACAGACAGCTGCTTCCTTGGCCCCACCATACACAACCAGGACGAGGCTGACATCTATAGTCACCGGTACCTGCCCATCACTGTGGAAACATGGCATAACACCCATTTTCAAATCAGGAAATGCAGAACAACTGGACAATTATCGTCCTATCACTCTACTCCCAGTGATATCTAAAGTGCTAGAAAAAAATGTTGCAAATCAACTATCAACATTCTTAGAATCCAATCAAATTATTTCCGGAACGCAACATGGGTTTAGAAGTAAGCTATCCACTGAAACAGCCTTACTAAAAATCACAAAAATCACAAGAATCAAATAAATCTACTCACCTTGCGTGATCTGTCAAAAGCATTTGACAGTGTCAGCCATGAAATCCTGCTTAACAAAATGAAAAATCTTGGAATAGACAACTATTGGTTCAGAAGTTATCTATCAACAAGGACGCAGTCAGTCAAAATTCTTCCAGTGCTCCACAAGGCGCCATATTAGGTCCGATCTTGTTCACTAAACATAAACGATCTATTAAACTTTACAAGCAACTGTCTCCTTGTCCAATATGCTGATGACTTAGTTTCTTCACGCTGCTCCTGTAAGCAATATATATGAACTGATAAGAAATACGCAACAAACACTTACAGAAGCAAAGATGTATTTTGACAATAACGGCTTCAAACTAAATCCCGATAAAACTCAATGCATCTTTATGAGCAGCCGGCAAAACATGGCCAAAATCCCCATAAACACAATCATAGAATTTGAAAGCCATCATATCAAACCAAGCATTCCCGTGAAAAATCCAGGAGTACACACAGACAAAATTTCAATGTTTATTGATGTGATGCAGGGCGGGTGGAGTATGCATGTACGTAAGGGACACCTTTAAATCAAATGTAATATCCACAATAGTTGTAAATAATACAGCTGTAGAGGACGTTTGGGTAACTGTATAAAGTAGTATGTACCCCTCCTTCATTATTTGTACAATCTATAGACACCCCCATGCTACAGCTGAATCATCTGACAACCTCGAAGATGTTTCAGAGAAATTTCAATGAAAAGAAAACCTTTTCATATTTTGGATAACTTAGACGAAGACCTGAACAAACCTAATGAAAAATTAGCCGGGATCATTAAGAAAAATTAAATCAACTTATAGATAAACCTACCAGGATCACAAAACACACCTCATCCGTGTTAGACATCATTATATCAAACAGACCTGACCTCATTACGTATACTGATATTATCTCTTGCCAAATTGCAGACCACGAACTATTAAGTATGACAGTAGATATAAAGAAACACAAGCAACAACCTGTCATAAAAACTTCCCGTTTAACTTGACTTGACAAATTACGACCCCCAATCACTTTGTCAAAATATTAGTGCCAGATAGTCGACCCTCTCAAAGATTCTTACAACAGATGATGTTAACAAACAAGTAGACATTCTCTCGAACGTACTAAAAAATAGCATAGATGCCACTGCTGCACTGTCAGACGTCCCCCCTCCCCAAGGATAAATGAGGACATCAAAAGAGCTATACATGACCGAAACAACACTCACAAATTTCTCAAAACAAATAGAACTGATATCGCCCTTCAGTCTGAGTATAAACAAAAACAAAAAAAGAGAACTGTTAAAACATTAATCCAATCAGCAAAAACAATTTATTTTCAAAATAAGTTCAATGACTGAAAACACGACGCCAAAGAAACATTGAAAACAGTTAAAACTTTAGCACGAAATCAAAAACACCACACAGAGACATCCCTAGATTCCTTAAGTAGTATAGAACATCTAAACGATTACTTCGCAAATATCGGTAGACTCACCTATGAACAGACAGCTGCTTCCTTGGCCCCACCATACACAACCAGGACGAGGCTGACATCTATAGTCACCGGTACCTGCCCATCACTGTGGAAACATGGCATAACACCCATTTTCAAAT